TTTCTTGAAAATCTTCAACGTTTTGGCCTCAATAATTTCCTGCGGCAGAGAATTCCACAGACTCACCACTCTCTGGTAGACCAAAGTCCTCATCCGTCTTAAAAGGTCTACTTTTGTCCTTAGACCATGACAGCTCTGGACACCCCAGTCACTGAGAACAACCTTCTGCATCTATCCCGTCATATTAGAATTAGATTAAGCTAGAATTTTATGGGTTTCTATAGGATCGCCCTCGTTTTTCTAAACTCCATACTGGAATCATTCTCTCCCTATGTGTTATCCCAGGAATCAGTCTGGTGAATCTTCTTTGCATTTCCCCAATAGTCAGAACATCCTTCATTAGATAACGGGACACTGCATACAATACTTGAAGGGCCTTACCAATGCCATGCACAGGTGCAATAACACATCCCACCTCCTGAACTCTAATCCTCTTGCTATTAAGGCCAACATACTGCTCATCTTCTTCACTGCCGGCCACACCTGTATGTTTACTTTCAGCCAACAGTGTACAAGGACACCCAGGTCTCCCCTTTTCCCAATCTAACGCGATTCAAATAATAAATCTACCTGCCTGTTTTTGCTACCAAAGTGGATAACTTCGCATTTAACTGCATTATACTTTCCTTGCCATGTATTTGCCCACTTAACTTGTCCAAATTACACTGAAGCTTTTCTATATCATCCTCACAACATATCTCCTCCTAGTTTAATTATTTCCTCGTCTAAATCATTAATATAATTGTGAATTGCTGGGGTCCAAGCATTGATCTCCACGGTACCCTACTAGTCACTGACTGCCACTTGGTAAAAGAACAGTTTATTCCAATCTTTGCTTCCAGACTACCTATCAGCTCTCAATCCACTTCAATACATGAATTTCAATTCCACGTAGTTGAACTCTGCACGCTAATCTCTTACATGGAATCTTATAAGCCTTCTGAAAAGGCAATTAAACCACATCCACTGCATCCCCCTTATCCACTCTATTAGTTACATTCTCAAAAAATTCCACAGATTAATCAATATGACTTCATAAAGCCATGTCAGCCCTGTCTAATTTGTGACTATCTTCCAAGTGCTCCGCCATTAAATCTTGCATAATGGAATCTAGCATTTTTCCCCACTATCAAGGTCAAGCTAACCAGTTAATAACTAGACATTTTCCCCTTGCCTCAAATAGTAGGGATACATTAGCTCCCCTCCAATTCACAGGATTCACGGGATTTATCTGAATTTAATCCCGTTAGTTTCCCCAATGCCATCTCCCTTCTATATTTATTTCTTTCAATCCTCCTTCCCATGAGGATAATCCCATATTTTTGGTACATTATTTGTCTTCCTTTGCGAAGGCAAAGCTGATATATGTATTTAATTGGTCTGCTACCTCTTTACTCCCCATTCTAAATTCCCATTTCTGACTGTAGGCGACTTGTATTTGACTTTACTAATCTTTTACTCTTTGCTTAACTGTAGCAGCTTTTACTATTGGTCTGTATTTTCCCTGCAAGCTTCTCTATACTCTATTTTCCCTTCTTCATCAGTGTGTTTGTCTCTCTTTGCTGGAATCTAAACTGTTCCCCATCTTCAGGTCTGCTGCTTTTTTGTCCAATTTTTATCCCTCTTCCTTGGATTTAATACTATCACTAATTTCCCTGTTACCCATGGTCTGACAACATTACCCGTTTTATTTCTATATCAGAATGGGTGAATAACTTCTGAAGTTCATTGTGTGTTCTTCAAACGTCTGTCATTGCTTATGCACCATCAGATACGGTGGAAACACTGGCACCCACAATTTTCCCTCCAAGCCCACACCATCCTGACCGCATCACTGTTCCTTCACAGTTGCTGGGTTAAGTCCTGAAATTCCCGTCCCAACAGCACTCGAGTAATTGGGGTTGCACTGCTCTAAAGAAAGCAGCACACCACAATTTTCAATTGCAATTAACCATGCATACTGGTCATGGAAGAATGCAAAAACATTACGGATCAAACTTAATAGTTACACATACCACACAACTGGGACGTGTTGAGGGGACATGCAAACACATCAGCCATATTCTTGCCCTCTGCTACTGCTCCAACTTCTCCATTATCTCCTTGGTTCTGCTTTCAATTCTAGGTAGCTTCTTTTTATCTATTTCAATATTGCACTGTAAGAGCTAATGACAATCATGTACTGCACTGCTAATTAAATCTAAACTCTACCCTAATCCATACCCCATCACCTCCAGGGATGTGTTGCTAAACCATGGGAAATGCAGGGTTACGGGGGTAGGGTAAGGGGGTGGTCTGGGTGAAGTACTCTTCGGAGGGTCAATGGACGTGATGGGCCGAATGTTCCACACTGAAGGGATTCTATGATCTCCTTGCTCCCCTAATGCAATTGTCTGCGCTTTCCACCCTGCCAGATATGCTCAACAAACACTAATGAAAACCAGAACTACTGAAGTCTACTAGTCTGTCGTGACAGCTATTCGAAAAGATGCTCATTTCCTGGATGTGTGGCACGAAATCCCGTTGTAGAAGGAGTAGCTGTTGGAAACAAGCAGGAAACCACCACTGCAATATGTCTGTAGAACAGCACTGGAGCCCTGCTGTTTGATCAGCTTTCTGTGCAACGTTTTCAAGTACTTACCTTGGGAACCTCCTTTTTGGCGATACTGAGCCAGACCTTGCGTCGCCGTATATTCAACTGCTCTAAGTTCAGGTGCTTTTTCTTTGAACCGAGAGGAGGAGCATCATGGGAGAACTTGGCAAATATTTTCATCTCAGTTCTTCGCGGGGATTCGCCAGATGAGAGTTCCTCCTCACGTTTCTTCCTCTTCTTCACTTTTTTCAACTTGGCTGGAAAAGAATAGGATATGTTCGTAAAAAAGGTTGTTCACCCCCACCCACAAAGACAGATATACCACCCTACCCCGACACAAGCCAATCACCCCCAATACTTACACAATTAAGGAACTTTTTTTTAACAACTGTTTAGAGAAACTTACTCTATAAAAGTCAAAGCACAATTAAAACTGCATCCTCAGGGAAAAGGTTACTAATTCAAGTTTTGCTTGTGGGCTAAGCCACCCAGCCCATTTTCATGCTCGGTCAAACAAAGTCTTTGAACAGGTAATAAAAATGAAATACTAGGGTCACAGAAATCTGAAATAAAAACATTGCTGGAAACATTCAACATGTCGAGCAGCATCAGTGGAGAGAGAAACAGTGAGAGTGCGCCTGGGATTGTTTCATCTCCAGAAACATCCCATAAAATGTGCAATAGGACTCCTCAGAAGTCCCCATGCAATGGCTCCACAGTAACTGACCAGACAGTTTAAACTTTTAATGGGCAATTACTCAACATGTGAAACACTCAACTTCTCCAGCGATGAGTATGACTTACAGTCAGAGGTTTCCGAGGCAGTGCCACTCTCAGCTTTGCTACCATGCTATCCATTCATCCACAACCCTCTGCCTGCCATTCTATTCCATCACACCCTACCCCGATACCCTCCTAGCAGCAACGGGTTAAGTAGAGAATCCGCCCAATCCACAAATATAAATCTCAAGCTTCCAGATACTTGCCATTTAAATTCACCATCTAGTTCTCATGCACACATTTCTGTCCTGAGTCTGTTGCTACATTCTCAAACAGCTCAACTTAAGTTCAAGGATCAACAACTCATCTTCCCATAAGAAATGTTACAGTTTTCTGGATTTAATGTTCAACAACTTCAGATAGTGAACATTTTGCTGCTTCTTTTTTGTCATGTTATGGTTTGAATCTTGTTTTTCATTGATTTTGCTTTCATTATTCGGACATAACCACTTCCACTTTATTTGTTATTCCACGACATCTTTGTCATTTAATTTCTCCTGCCCTCTACCCGAACCCAGACCTTCGTTTTCATGCTTCCTCCTCCCCTCCAACAGCATACTGCCATCATAGACCTAATCTCCTTCACTCCTGAAGTCATATTAAACTGCATTAAATCAGTTTTGTTCTCTACAGATGTTGCCAGAGATTAGAGTATTTATAGAACCCTGGTACTCCTTGAACAGGTTGTCACCAAGTCGGTGCCTATTTTGTAGACAATACCAAGTTTGAACCTCTCCAATCAATTTTCCTTAACAACTACCAGAAATTACATCTATAAGGATGCAACTATGGCAAGCTATTTCTCCTTTTCTTTCTCAAATTGTAACCTTTAACATGGTTAACCACACAATCCTCTTTTCTTCCCTCAGGTGGATGAGGCCACTTGGCTAAATTTTTATCTATATTATCATAGCTAGAGAATCATCTGCAGTCGTTTATCTTTCTGTGACATAATGTGCGAGCCCTCTTTTTCCATCAACTTCCTGCCTCGCATCTTAATCTAGAGGTCTCTTTTCAGGATCCACATGTACGCTGACAACACCACCATATTGTCACTGCCTAGTTTATCACGACTTATCGGAAATCCCACTTGGATGAGCTGAAATTTCCTCCAATTAATATTGGAACCTGTCAACAGCTTGCATTTATATACCACTTTCAATGTGATAAAAGGCACTTCACAGGAGCGCATGATACCAAACTTTCTAAGGAGCTATTATAAGCTTGGTCACAGAGATAGATCTCAAGGAGCATTCTAAAGGAAGACACAGGGAGATGACAAAGGGGTATTCAAGGGTCTGTGGCCTACAAGGTTAAAGTCACATCAACAAATAGTACAATGAAAGTCAGGAATCTGAAACAAACAAAAATTAATTAACAAAACTGTTTCAAAGGGTTGTGCTGCTTGATGAGATTATAGGGATAGAGGAGGTAGAAAGACTTAGAAATAAGGAGGACTTTAAAATTAAGACTTTATGAGAAGCCAAATGTTGGTCAACAAGAGGGTAATGGGAAAATGGGACTCGGTGTGTTTAAAGGACATGAGCAGAGTTTTCGATGACTAAAGGAGGCTAGGATATGGGAGAACAGAAAGGTCTATGAAGGAATAGTCAAACTTGTAGACAACAGACAACATTTTAAGCGTTTTACGTCAGATTATGCGGAGGCGGGGACAGGTCCACCCATGTTAGAGGGATGGAAATGATCACAGTAAAGATTTTAGTGATGGCAGAGAAAAATGTTAGACAACACGTCATGGGGGTCATACTTTCACAATTCACGTGTGAGATGGACAGATAATAGTCAGCGGCTAAATAATGCTGTCTACAAGAGAGCCAGATGATCAGGTTTCTCAATCTCAGTGACAAGAAACCTATGAGTAAAAATGGAGAACAGTGGGGAAGAATTTAAGGTTAGGATTCAAAGCTGCTGTTGGAATAGTGAGCAGTTTTCGCAGTCAAGAACAGAACATTGGGTGCTTCAAATTATCTAGCCATACCTTTGCCACTGAACCAAACCCCCTTGGTGGCTACTATCTCAGGTTGAACCAGATTGTTCACAACTCACTGGTCCTGCACTAAGCTTCCATCCCCATGACCCCTCCACTGCCAAAACTACATACTTCTAGAACATCAATCTTTAACTAGTCCTCAACTTTTCTGCTGAGGACATACAAGCTAAAGACAACATGCACACGGTGGAGGGTAGGAGAAATCTGCACTAACGTATAACTACACACAAGCAGTGAAAAGGCTCAGGAAACCAGAAAGATCCCAGTAGAACTGCTCACTCACCCTTCATTTTTTTCTCTTCTTTCTTCTTTTTCCTGCTAGGGCCTAGGACATGGCGCTGTTGTTCGTAGAAGTGGTCGTGCGTGGACAGTAGACCCGTGCTATAGTATTGGTATTGCTGGAGCTGGAGGGAGTATACAAACTAAGTATCATTTCAAATGGAGAAACTCCCAATCACACTATTAGCTTGCACACAGTGAAAGTAAGCCAAATCTAATATACACAACAGATCAGATAAATGTCCCAACACAATCAAAGAAATAAGACTACAGTTGGAGATGCCAGTGAACTGTAGATGTGAAAAAATGCTTTCAACACGTGGTCAATAATATTCAATTACAGAAAGGGTGCTGGAGAACCAAGACACACATACATCACTGAAGGCAACAATATGTGCAAGCAGGATAGCAAAGGGCTGCAAAGCTTTCCATGAGCTGCAGCTTACTGATAAAAGGTTAGCCACAACAGTGTTGCAATGGTTGGTTCTGCAACAGTCAAAGATACGGACGAGAGTTTCAGAAGCAAGTGAGTACATGTTTCCAATATGATAGAAAGACACTTGGTGAACAAGAGAATTTGGAGATAGAAGTTCAATTTATGATCAAACAGTATGCTGGAGTTATCAACAATTTGATTCACCCTAAGATAGTGACGAGGGACAAGGAAAAAATTCAGTGGTAATGGAATAGAGTTTGTGGTTGAAATCTAAGATCATGACTTCAACTTTTCTATTTTTAAACTGGAGTATACTGCAGATCATCTGCACAAAAGGAAAAGCTGAAGCATTTGCAACAAACCTTCAAGTAAAAGCGCCAAATGGATGACCCATCTCAGTTTCCTCTAGTGTTCCCCAGCATCACAGGCCCATGTTCATCAAGCTCTATTCACTCACACATTGAGAGATTAGATTCTGCTAAGGCTACAGGCCCTGATAATATTCCGGCAATAGCACTGAAGACCTGTGCTGAATGCTAGCAAAGTGTTAGCCAAGATGTTCCAGTACGGCTACAACCTGCATCTACTCAAAGTGGAAAAATCACCTGGATACATTCTGTCCATAAAACATGGTACAAATTCAACCCATCCAATTATCGCCCTGTCTACTCGATCAGTAGTGGAGTAATGGAGGGAGATGTCGACAGTACTGTCAAGTCACACAGTAACTGACACGCAGTTTGGGGTCAGCAAGGGCCACTCAGTTTTTGATCTTAAAGCAGCCTTGGTTCAAACACGAACAAAAGAGCTAAATACAAGAGCTTGGGTGCTACCTTGGTATCAAGGTAGCATCTGGCCTAATCAATCAACGAGCCCTTAGCAAAACTTAGTCAATTAGAACCAGGGGAAAGCTCTCCGCTAGTTGGATTCATACTTAGCACAAAAAAGATGACTGATGATTATTGGAGGCCAATCATCTCGATCCCGGGACATCACTGCAGCATTCCATCAGGATATTTTCCTAGGCCTAACCTTTTGTCATCTTTACCTGCTTCATCAATAGGTCAGAGGTGGGAATATTTGCTGATAACTGTACAAATGTTCAGCACCATTCGTGACTTCTTCGATACATTCAAATGCAGCAAGATGTGGACAATATTTACAATCAAGCTGATGTGAAAAGTTACAATCATGCCACACTAATATCAAACAATGAACATCGCCAACGAGAGAATCTAACCTTTTCCCCCCCATGGCATTCAATGACATCATAATTGAATTTCCCACTAGCAACATCCCAGGGGTTACCACTGACCAGAAACTGAACTGAATCAACGATACAAATGCACATCGTCTTGTTTTGGAGCTACATTACTGTCCCTTCATCCCTGGATCACTTTCCCAAATTGCACTGTGGATGCAGCTAACCACATGGACTGCAGCTACCCGAGAAAGTGACATACCACCATCTTTTCAAGGGCAATTAGGGATGGCAATTAATGCTGGTCTAGCCAGTGACAGAATAATTTTTTTTTTATAAATCAAACTAGATATCAGACAAATAATCACTGACAATTGTCAGAAGGAAATGGATGGAGAAGTGCAGCTCCATGTTGTTAGTGCTCCTGTGATAATTCACGCTATGTTTATTGAGGCCACCAAAGAGCAGCACTTGGACTGTAGGTGACATGGACATGGAATAAGATAGCACTATCTAATGCTCTTCTGTTATTTTGACACACCCAAACGTGAGGAGCTAACGGAGGCATTCAAAATGGCTCCAGATCCAATGTGAAACCGATCTCCAAACAGTACACAAGTGAAACCCACAAGTTTCTTCTCCATGCCTTTACTAAGGTTGCCAGGAATCATAGCACAAAACCCTGCCTAGTATCATATTTTGGTTACTTTATGAAGTGGAATTGGCATCATGAACATTTGTTGACTTTCCTCATGAATAAATCTATCCCAGTCTAAGCAACATTTCCAGACACCTTGATTCTTGATTCACGATTCACCTGTTAAAATGGAAACAAGTGACTCAAACTTAAATTCTATCTCTATTTCCAAGGTGCTGCCATACAGGAGACCTGGCTTCAGCTTCCTTGTTCCAAAAAAAAGCTTTAAGTGCTATATAAACATAGGAACACGAATGGGCCATGCAACCCCTGGACTGTCTCCGCCAATTCAAATGGGTGATTGCATCTTAACTTGCTTTACCTGCTTTTCTAATCAACCTATTCAGATGTTATTACACACCTCTGGAGCAGGTAGGACTTGAACCCTGGCTTCCTGTTGCCGGCTAGGTACACTACCACTGCACCACCTTGGCTCAATGACCCTTCATATATTTGACCAACAAAGATTGATCACAGATGCTAATTTCTTATTTGAGCTAGTATCAAACCCTTTGTGGAAGGCAGCTTCACACTTTTCCCACCCTGTGTGTGAAGAAGTGCTTTCTAACTTTTCTTCTGCATGATCTGGCTCTCATCCTTAGGTCTTGTTCCTTTGGCCTATATGGCCTACAAGTGGAAAAGATTTCTCTATCAACCCTATCAATTGATTTCAAAACCCTAAGCATCTCTTACCCTTCCACACTGTAGGGCATACAAGCCTGGCTTACATTTTCTCTCATCATTTGGAGGCCTAGTGGCATACTAATGAATCTAAAATGCACTCCTGCAAAGGCTAATACACCTTTCAACAGAGTGATAGCCCAAAGTGTATACAATATTCCAAACCAGGGCTTTGTACAGCTAGAACAAAAACTTTCCTTTATATTATTCCCTTCTAGATAGAAAGGTCAACATTGCATTAGCCTTTTTGATTATTTTTGTGCCTAACCAATTTCTGCAAGTGTATAGGGACACCAAATTTCCCTTCGTCTTCACTTTTCCTGATTTTACATAATTTGAATATTGACATCACCTTTCTTTGATTCACAACAGGTGACCTCAAATTTACTTATGTTGCTATCCATCTGCTATAGCTCTGCCTGTTCAGTCACTCTGTGACTTTATGTTTCCAACTAGTTATTGCTGTCAGCAATCTTTGCCGCATCAGGCAGTGAACACTATGGTTCTGTAAGGAGTACCTTTGCCTACCAACTCGTGTCAGGCAGCTTTCGATGAGCCTACTCCCAGAAACGGATGTAGCAGATTCACAGCTCCACACACCTGCTTCATGGGCAGTTGGAAAAACATAAGCCAATAACATATAGGTGTCATTTTAATCCTATACAGACAGTCTAGTGTGACCCCCTCCACAGTATCAAGCTCAGACCTCAATATATCCCACATTTTTCTTCAGCATAAACTATTACAAAAATGACCATCTTCATTCAGCCTAGTGAAAAGCACCTTACTTCTGATGCAAGTAACCTCCTCCCATGTTATTCTCAGTCTATCAGTAGTTTACTGTGAGAAGCACAATTCCCAATGAACTTTCTCCATTTATTCTCTTCATATTAGTAAGCGAGTTCTTAATAGTTTTCATGGACACAGTGATCTCAAAATAGCTCTGTTCCATAGCAATCCACAAGGTGCCAGAGACAGAAGAACTGGTACGTGGTAGAACGCTTACCTCTCTATCACTGTGCACTTTGCTCTGATGCAGCTTCCTGTACTTATGCAGACGCAACATATCGTGCAACTCCTCCTTGGTGAGCGCAAACTCCCCTTCGGCGTCATCATCATCCGTGTTGGAGTCCGAAGTCTCATTGCTCAAGAGAATGCTCTACACAGAAAGAAGAAATAGATATCTGCACAAATCAGATTTGGTAGTCAGGTCAAAGAAGTAATTCGTGGTGAGGCAGATACGATCATCAATAGGTTGGGAATAAGGTTACTTAACCATGTGCAAACAGAATTCCAAATCTCCTGCTCAACATAGTCCAAATCCCTTCAACAAACACACTTTCAACCATTTAAATACTAACTCTCTGTGCTCCTGCCATCTTGCTGGACACATGTCACAATCTCTGAAACTATCGTGGTGAGTGGGAGAAGATCTGAGGAAATCCCTAATTCAAGCTCTGCGTCAACTAACAACTCAGGTGCTACGTTCTCCATGTAAAGTTTCTCTTGTTATCTCAAGTTTTTGTATTTCCTATATCTATTCTGGGACATGATGGCAGACTTATCAATTGCTGGAGACAGGCTGCTTTCTACATACTTTGTCCAATCCCTCTAAAAGCTTCTGTTTAATCAGAATACAAATCCCACATTCTAGCAAGATTAGCCTCGCCTAATCTAGTCTCTTCTTATTTGTATGTCTTCATGACAACTACCATCCTAAAGAATCTGTGCTATGCCCTCTTTCAACATTTGTGTGAAGCCTAAAGGTAGACTGCACCCACTTTATCAATCTTCATTATACCTTCATGCTATCAGACTAAATGTCTAACCTTGAAGTGAAAAGTTTAGTATTGGTGTCTTGCTCAGCTGAGCTGAAAACTGTGTGATTCAGCAGTATGACTGGAATGGGCACTGGGGGGGAGTAGTGGCATCAGTGGCTTAGAGACAGAGTTTATGATATGGGTCAAAGTCTGTAACTTCAAACTTCCTGATATTCAGTTACTTTAAAATGTGACGAAGTTTACTTCTAAAAAGTGGTGCAGAGGGTGAAAAGTCTATCTTGTTACTATAGTCTGTTCTTATCCTCACTAACCATTAATATCCCAAAAAGTGATGTGATCGAGCAAATCTGAAGATTTAGATATGTCACCACTGCAAAGACAATAACCAAAATCCAGTTGACTAAATCAGACAACAAACTCCCCAACTCATAACTAGAATTCCACAAATCACCAAGCAGGAGCAATAGAAAAACAAGCTAAGAGCCAGTGCACACCAAACTCCCCCTCAGTGCACCAAATAGCCTCCAAATCACAAAGTAGTATCAAGTTCTTTGTGTGCATAAACATTCAGAACATATTAGTATGAACTTTAAATCCATGTAACCAAACACAAACTACACAATGGATCAACTTTCAGTGAAATATTTCCGATCGTATTGATATCCACAATCAAAAATCTTTATCATGGGCACAGGTAATTTTCAAACAGCACCCAGTCCTCACTCAGAGGGAATCAGAGCCTCTAGCAACCTGCAGCTTCAATAGTCATGGATAATTTGACACACCATTTTCAGCATCTGAGCTCCAGATATAAACTAGGTTAGCGCATAAAGGTGGTCTTCCCCTGGAGCACGATGGTCGGATGGAGCTACTCCATTTAAACTTGTGCCCAGGTGAACAAAAGCAAAGGGGCAGATAGTCTGCAGACTGATGAAAAATATTACCCTAGTAAAAAGCAACACAAGTTTTCCAAATAGTTTGGGAAAGTATGCAAATGCCTTGAATGATCTCAACTATCAATTATTAGAACTACCTCAATGGATCAAAAGTTAAAGAGACAACACAAAAACAGGTTAATGTTCCTACTCCTGATGGGTACTCCTACTGGAAAAAATGGAGTTGTACACATGCCAAGTTCCAGCTTGGGCTCAGTGCCCTTACATTACCCTTTGCAGTTAGTTAGTGTACCAATGCTCGTATAATCTGACCTTATATGAAGAATGCCACTTGAGCAGAGGCTTCAAGGTTTCTACAGAGTGCTGAACTGTACCCAAGAATTAGCTTTGGATTAAGAGAGAAAATTTGCAAAAAAAAAAAAAAAAACGACACCCAAGGTTAGTCAGTTTATAGGAACATTTCAGCTCCTATTAGGGACTCTGAACAGTCAGACAGCTAAAAGAACAAACAAGAACATGGATATGTAAAGTCTTTCACATCTTCCGGATGTGCCAAGGCACTTTTCAACATAACTGAAGCAGAGTCATTGTTGTAAAGTATACAAACACAAAATGGCTCACAAATATAGCAACAAAATTATTGGTATTTTTAAGATGGTTGAAGGTTGATTTTTTTCTTTTTTATTCATTCACATGATGAGGGCATCACTGGCTAGGCCAACATTTATTACCCATCTCTCACTGCCCAGACGGCAGCTAAGAGTCAACCACATTTCTGCGGGCCTAGAGTCACATGTAGACCAGACCAGGTAAGGATGGCAGATTCCTTTCCTAAAAAACATTAGTGAACCAGATGGGTTTTTCCCTGACAATCAGCAAAGGATTCATGATCACCATTACACTCTCAATTCCAGATTTTTATTAAATTCAAATTCCACCATCTGCCTTGGATTGATTTCAACCCAGGTCCCAAGAACGTTAGCCAGGCTTCTGGATTAATTGTTCAGTGATAATAGCACTAGGATGACCCTCCCCTATAGCAAAAACTACCTCCCTGCTCTTCAAATAATGCCATAGGGTCTTTTATATTCACCCAAGAGTAATGTGACCTCTGTTTAATGCTCCATCTGAAAGACAGCATATCTGACAGTAGACGTTTAGTCCAAACTTTGTGATCAAGCCTATGAACCCACAACATTTTGACTCAGAAGTGACAATGCAACCACTGAGCCAAGGCTGACAGTATAATCGGCTGTAACAGTTATATTTCAGCAAGCAGTAGTGGTCTCGAGCCAGTCAGGTAATTACAATGTTTACCCATTTTACTTTTGAACCATTAGAACATACACAGGTTTCTCTTTCACTTCTGTTCACAAAGCACATCCTGTGACACGTCAGTGATTGTGCGTTGGGATTGATCAGTAGAAACTGAACAACAAGCAACTTCGAAAGGATAACTGTAAGCAGCACGCTTTAAAGAATAGCACAGCTCTACACAGATCACTTTACTGTGCAGGAATCAAACAGGCACTTTTATGTCCTCACCTTCAACCATTTCCTGCTTTTCTTCAATTTGCTGAAATTGTATACGTTTCCCCTCTCAACTTTGAGTTCTGCAACATAAACATTGCAGGTAATTATTAGTTACCACCAACACACAAAACTCAGACAAAGAAAATTAGTTCTTGAAACTGAACAACATGCTGAACAGAATGCTTTGTTAAAAGGAAACATTCAGAATAATATGAAGCTAAAGCACTGTTCTAAGCAAGCAGGTAGCTCTGATCTTCTCACAACGCCTTGAACCAAAATATCAAAATTTGAGAAATTTATGAATCTGGGCTGAAACATTCTTAGAGTCATAGGCATAGAGGTCTACAACATGAAATTAGGCCCTTCAGCCAAACTTGCCCATGCTGCCCAATTTTCACAATTTAAATAGTGCCATTTGCCTGTGTTTGGTCCATATCCCACCATACCGATCCCATCCAAGTACCTGTTTAAATGTTTCTTAAAATGATAAAATTGTACTCGCTTCCACCACTACCTCTGGCAGTCTGTTCCAGACACCCACCATCCTGTGTGAGAAAAGATTGCTCCTCCGGACCCTTTTGTCTCTCTCACCACTCACCTTAAACCTATGCCCTCTAGTTTTACAGTCCCCTACCATGGGGAAAAGCTGTCCGCTATCTACTTATCTATACCTCTCATGATTTTATATACCTCTCTAAGGTCAGTCCTCAGTCTCCGACACCGAGTCCCAGCCTACCTAATCTCTCCTCATAACACAAACCTACCAGTCCAGTTAGCATCCAAGAAAATGTCTTCTAACTCTTTCAGTTTAATAATATCCTTTACATAGTAGGGCAAACAGAACTGCACGCAGTACTCCAAATGTGGCCTCACCAACATAGTGTACAAGGTGTCCCATCTCCTATATTCAATGCACTGACCAATGAAAGCTAGCATGTTGAAAGCCTTCTTCGCCCACCGGTCTACCTGTGACTCTATTTTCAAGGAGGTATGAACCTATACCCATTAATCTTCGTTCTAGAACACTCCCCAGGACCCTTTCATTGACTGTGCAAGTCCTACGCTAGTTCGCTTTACCAAAATGCAAGACCTTGCATTTATCTAAATTAAACTCCATTCCTCAGCCCACTGGCCCAGTTGGTCAAGATCTCGTTGCATTCTCAAATGATTTTCTTCAGTGCCCACAATACCACCAATCGTGGTGTCACCCGCAAAACATTCTACTGATACCTCCTAAATTTTCATCCAAATCATTTTATATAAATGACAAATAACAGTGGACCCAGCACTGATCCCTCTGGCATACCGCTGGTCACAGGCCTCCAGTATGAAAAACAACCCTTTATCACCACCTCCAGTCTTGTACTATCAAGCGAATTTCACATCCATATTGGCTAGCTCCTTCAGATCCTGTGAGATTTAACCTTACCCAACTATCTACTGTGAGGTACCTTATCAAAGGCCTTGCTACGGTCCACGTAAACAATGTCTACCGCACTGCCCTCATCTACTTTCTTAGTCATCCCTTCAAAAAACTCAATCAAATTCATAAGACATGGATTTCCCACACTCAAAGCCACACTGACTATCACAAATGAATCCTTGCCACTCCAAAGACCTGTAGATCCTGCCTCTCAGAATCCCCTCTCACAACTTACCCACCATGGACAGTAGGCTTACTAGTCTGTAGTTACCAGGCATTTTCCTGTAGACTCGCTAATATTGGTACAACATGAGCCACCCTCCAATCTTTGGGCACTTCACGCATTGCTGTCGATGATATCTCCGCTAGGGGCCCTGCAATTTCTTCACTAACTTCCCACAGCATCCTGAGGTACACTTCATCAGGTCCTGGGGATTTATCTACCTTAATGAGTTTTAAGACTTCCAGCACCACCTCTTCTGTAACGTGGACACTCCCCAAGTTCCCGAGCATCCACACCTTTCTCAAAGCCAAGTAGTGATGAGAAATGTTCATTTAGAATCTCATCCATCTCTTGTGGTTCTGGACTTCTATGACCCTGTTGATCTTTAAGAGACGCTTTTTGCTCTGTAGTTACTCTTTTGCCCTTCAGGTACTTTTATAATCTCTCTGGATTCTCATTTACCTTATCTACCAATGCCATCTGGTGTCCCCTTTTAACCGTCCTGATTTCTCTCAAGTATACTCCAACACCCTCTATACTCCAAGGAATTCACTCGATCCCAGCTGCCTATACACGTAATATGCCTCCTTTTCTACCCACTGCCCCCCCAAGACCAGGGTTTCCTACTCCTGCCAGCCTTACCCTTCACTCTAATAGGAACATGCTGGCCCTGAACCCTCATTAACTCACTTTTGAAAGTCACCCATGTCCCTTTGCCTGCAAACAGGCTCCCCCAGCCAACTTATCAAAGTTCCTGTCTAAGGCTTTGCCCCAGTTTACAACTTTAACTTGTGGACCAGATTTATCCTTATCCATGGATATTTTAAAACTAACAGAATTATTGTCACTAGTCCCAAAGTGCTCCCCTACTAACATTTCTGTCACTTGCCCTGCCTTATTTCCCAAGAAGTGAGGTTTTGCCCCTTCTCTAGTATGCCCATCTATCTACTGCATGAGAAATTCTTCCTGAACACACTTAAATTTCTCTCCAAGAAAGCTCTTAACACTATGGCAGTCCCAGTCAATGTTAGGAAAGTTAAAATCCCCTATCATAACTCTATTACTCTTGCGGCTATCTGAGATCTCCCTCTATTTATTTTTTTGGGGGCGGGAGCGGTGGTGGGGGGAGCGGGCCGGCCTATCGTACAATACTATCAAAGTAATCTCCCCCTTTTTTACATCTCAGTTCTACCCACATTGACTCAGTGAATGAACCCACAAGATCATCTTCTCTCAGTACTGCCGTGATGTTCTCCCTGATCAAAACGCGACTCCCTCTCCTCTCTTGTCTCCCCTTCTGTCCTTCCTATAGCATCTGCACTCCAGAACATTGAGCTGCCACTCTCAGCCATGTTTCTATGACTTTTATACTATCCCAGTCCCACGTACCCATTCATGCCCAAGTTCATCTGCCTTACCTGTCAGGCCTCCTGCATTGAAAAAAAATGCAGTTTAACCCAGACATCCCTTGCTTCCTGCCATGCTCTTGCCTGCCCTGACTAGTACTGGGATTACCAATTATTCTAATTTAACAGTGGTATCTCCCTTGCTGGTATACGCTATTTGAATCTAGAGAACATTAGCTCCAGGTTTGTCATCCAAATTGAACGCAAATTGACTGTCTTTGACTATAGAGAATGATCAGCATGGGAGCAGGAGACACTATCCACTGAAAGTTCTCTTCTATGATTTTTTTAATTAACTGATCAAACTGTATCTACTCTCACAGTAGGTGGTTTAGATCTTTGTCATCTGGGAACTCCTGAATTAATCTCGGATCTCTGCTTATTTAACTGACTCCTGCCTATAATTTGTGATAACCTTCAACATACTATCCGCGTTCAATTCACCTATTTGTCCATTAAAACCCATTAAGCTCGCAATAAAACTTCCCACTTGTATCCCCGCCTTCAATTCCAAACCTTCCGATCAATAACATTCTCGGGTCAGCTCGTTTCCAATATAGAACAAATGATTTCATTAGTTGAAATGAGCGGCACTGAGCAATCTTGTTCATTAACGAGAAACAGAATAGATTATGTCCTGTACCAAGCTCATTGGCCAATGTGAACACCAAAACAAACTCAACGGTTTGGAAATACAAGCACCATTTTGATTTGTGCAGTGCCAGCTTACCCTAAAGACGATCAAAAGTTACCAAAAAATGCAAAATTAAAACTTAATTCCATGGAAAATAGCTTTCGGCATATACCAAACCCAACAAGGACTGAGTTTGAGTGTGGCGCTGTTCCCAGAACAAATAAATAGTACCTCATTACAGAGCTCCGTCTCATCTTCCGAGCAAATTCAAGCTGAAAAGAACCTCCATTGCCTCTAGATTCCTACCTGGATGAAAGACACCATTGAGCGAGGGTGGAGCTATCAGAGTTCTGCTATGTCCAACTTCTGGTCGCTCTCCCAGTTCCTCCTCAGCAGGCTCCTTCTTAATGCGGTTCAGAAGATTCCCAGAACCTGTTTTAGATACTGAGGAAGTGTCCTCAAGCCCATCATCGCTTTCGTCACTACAACAGTAACAGAAGCAAAAATAAGTGTGTTTGCAGAGTTAGAAATAAACACAAGGATACTTGGTAATACAGTGCAGACATTGCCAGTGTGCTGTGAAGAATAAAGATGGTCCATTTATGCTGTTATCCAAAAAAGCCATAGAAAATAAAGGATCAAAGATCCTGTTCACACAAACAACGAGATATTCTTTGAACCTCCATAATTCCAGTGCACTTTGTTCAAATGCTGCACAAAGTGTAGTATAAAGGACTTCTGTACAAAGGCTTACATCAAATAAGACTACTTAAAGTAAAGCCAGGGCGGTCCGTATCTTTGCCACCTGCCGCTGTAAAACAGCTGCTTCCCTCTTACACTCTATTTCATGAGTTCAAAATCTACGACCACTTCTGTCTAGGAGGACAAGGGTAGCAGAAACTTAGGACTATCACCAAGGTACCCTTCAAAACACTCACCCGTCCTGACTTGGCTATATCTTAACATTCCTTCAGTGTCACTGGTTCATAATTCTGCAACTCCTGCCTTCACAGCATTGTGGGTTTACCTAAACAAAATATATTGCAGCTGTTCATGAAGGCAGTTTACCACCACCTTCAACAGAAACCAGGGATGGTCAATAAATGCAGGACCAGCTCGTCATCCCATCCCACATCGCACGAAGTGAATAAAAATGATAACTTTTCAATCCCCATCAACTTAGGGGATAAAAAGCAGCCTAACTTCACTGTCTCCTTACCTGGAAACAGGCCTGTTGAAGACACTTGCTGCCTGACGTAGGAAAGGGTCAAGTCTAAGAGCACGTTCCAGGTACTGGAGATGGAGAGGCTTTGCCAGCTCTGCACCGCTGCCATTCTCACTCTGAAGTAAATCTGCTGCCATAGAAAGTTCCTCTCGTGCAGGAGAAACTGGGCCTTCTGAAGGTACTACAAAAATTAGATAAACATAAATCAGCCATAATACCAAATAAAGTAGATTCTTACAAACCTTTCGGTGACCTCAATTTTTGAGTCCGAATGATCGAGATACCAATATTTCAAACCTGGGCATTAAAATGTGCACAATTCTCAAAACCCTCCTTGAATTCATTACTCTAAATGGTCTGGCAATAATGCATATCTTGCATTCTGTGCGACTTTAAGCATGTCAAGTGGGTTATAGTTGCACTATAATCCATTAAGCAACAAACACTATCTAGTGATACCTAGGAAGATAGTAAATAGGTGTAGGCTTTTCAGCCCTTCAGTCTTGCTTTCCCACTCAAGATTTTATGCCTTAACTCCACCTTCCTTTATCCTTTTTTACCTAATTATCCTTTAGTACCCACCAAATCCATCAACTGTCTCAAACAGGCTCAGCTACTGAGCATACACAGCTCTCTGCAGTCGAAAATTCCAAAGATTCCCACTTTTAGAGAAATGAAAAAAAAACTCCCACCTCGGTTCTAACAAGTTTTTTCCCTGATTCCAATACTATGACCCAATTCCTAGATTCCTTAATTAAAATAACATCTCAGGGTCTACCATGCTAAATTCCTTCAGAATTTTCTTTTAATTACATCATCTCTCATTCTTCTAAAACACCATGAAATAGGCCTAGTTATGCAAACTCTTTCCACAGGACAGTCCTCTCATTCCAGGAAGCAGTCTAGTAAACTTTCATTGCATTCCCTCCAGGACAATGTACCCTCATCCTTTTTTTAATTCATCCACTGGATGTAGGTGTCACTTTGCCAAGCCAGCATTTATTGCAGATCTGGAGCCACATGTCAGCCAGAGCACATGGGTTACCTTCCCTAAAAGACTTCAGTGAATCAAATGAGTTTTTTCCCACCCCCAACAATCAACAGTGGTTTCATGGTCATCATTAGACTCTTAAATCCAAATTGTGTTGAATTCAAATCTCACCATTTTGCCATGGATTCCAACCTGGGCCCCCAGAACATCACCTGTGTCAGTGGATCAATAATACCACTAGGCCATTGATTTAACATGAGGGAACTAGATCTGTGCACAACTATATTTTCTGTTCTTTAAGTCTGATTTATATCTGCAAAGGTAGGGGTAAGGTGAAGAACTGGTGTTTGAAGGTCTATCATTTTTCTGGGAGCAATGTAAAGTGATTAATTGTGGGCATTAAAATATTGAGTGCTAATGGAGCTACATATTAAAGAAGTCAGGTAGCAATGGTAATTTCTGATATCCTGCAGGCACAAGCAAATGTATTAAACATAATCAAAGCATTTGGCTAACAGTAAATCAATACAAACACAAAATATGGAAAGTAGAAATTGTAAGTAGGATCAAAATGCACGACAGCAAACTCCAAGATAACATTTAACTCCACAGCTGAATTAATTCCAGTCACCACCAGAAATTGCTTCGTGCAACATATAAAAGCTTGCAATTCAGTCTACTGAATGATACAAAGGCGCTTCCTGTTGCCATAAATTAACCAAGCATCATTTCCAGTCTTATTTCAACTTCAAGTCATATCACATTTGAAACATTAATGCTGTTTTTGTCTCTCCATAGATACTGCCATACCTGCTGTGTTTCTCCCTTGTGGTGTAACTGTAGAGGCTCTACCTCTGAGGCAGAAGCCTGGGTTCAAGTCCCATCTGCTCCAGAGGTGTGTAACAACATCTCTAAGCAAGTTGATCAAAAATATCTCCAACACCTTGTTTGTTTTTTTTTCTCCAGTCTCCACAATACCATATGAAATAAGAACAGGAGTAAGGTCATTCAGCCCTTCAGGTCTGCTTCACCATTCAATGGGATCATTGCTGATGTGAAATTCCTTACATCCATTGTTCTGCCCTTTCCTCATAAATCTTGATTCCCTATGATAATCTTAAATATATACAAGGATTCTGCCCTGCAGCTCTCTGTGGCAAGGAGTTCCAAAGACTATCAACCCTCTGAAGAAATTCCTTCTCTTCTCAAACTTAAATTGGCACCCCTTTACTTTGAGACCATGTCCTCTGGTCCTAGACTCTCCCTCCCAAGAGGGGAAACATCCTCTCAGCATTTACCTTTCAATCCCCTGAGATCATCTCTCATCCTTCTAAATTCCAGTATGTACTGTCTCAACTTACATAGCCTTTGCTCATAAGACAATCCCTCCTCACCAAAGATCATCCTAGTGAACCTTCTCTGAACTGCGTCCAATGAAATGATATCTTTTCTTAAGTGAGGGGACCAAAACTGCTCACCAGCGCTTTGTACAGTTTCAGTAAGACTTCCTTATTCTCATAATCCAAACACCTTGAAGTAAGGGCTAACATTCCATTAGTTTTAGTGATTACCTGCTGCACCTCTCTGCCAGCTGTGTTTTATGCACAAGTACTCCTTTGTGTTGCAGCTTCCTTCAGTTTTTCTCCAATTAAATATGATCTTCTGTTCTCCTTAGGATGAACAACTTCACAATTTCCCAATTATACTCTATTCGCTAACTTTTTGCCCACTTACTTAACCTATCAATATCTCTCTCTAAACTGTGTGCATCCCTTTCACAACCTGCCTTTTCACTTATTTTTATATGTTGTCTGAAAATCTAACTACAGTACATTCACTACAATATATACTCATGACTTGGGAGATAAATAGTTGTGGTCCTAGCACAGATTCCTGTGAAACCCCACTAGTCACAGGTTGCCAACCTGAAAAAGGATGCCTTATCCCCACTCACTGTTTTCTGCCCATTAACCAGTTCTCTATCCATGTCAATATACTACTTCCAATAGAGTGGGCTCATATCTTATGACAACCTTTTTTTGAAGTACCTTGTCAATCACCTTCTGGAAGTCCAAATACAACACATCTACTAGCTCCCTTCTGTCCACTCTGGCTGAGACTTCTTCAAAAACTCTAGTCAGACACGATTTCTCTTTCACGAAGCCATGCTCTCTCTGCTTGACTGAATTATGATTTTTCCAAATATTCTGCTCTTAGCTCCTTAATAATTGGTCCCAATATTTTTCCAACAATAGATACCAGGCTAACTAACCTAGAATTACCCAATTTTTGCCTCCCTCCCTATTTTGAATAGGGGCGCCACATTAGCAGTTTTCCAATCCTTTGCAGTTTTCCAAAATTGGTTGGATTCTGGAGAAATATCAATCAATACATCCACTCTCTCTAATAGGTACTATTTTTAAGGACCCCAGGATACAAGCCATCAGGGCAGAGAACATATCTGCCTTTAGCCCCTTTAGGTTGTCTAATATTACTTTAGTGATGGTGACAGTACTTAATTCCCACCACCATCACCCACACCCACTCCCATATTCTTTAGTATTAATGGAACATTCAAAGAATCATCTACCAAAAAGATTGATGCAAAACATTTACAAAATATTAAAGTGCATGGCATTTACGTATTTAATTCCTGTGTATTTACAAATGATTTCACCCTGATTTGTCAATTCGAAAGGTATTGACACCACACAATGAGATTAACTTTATTATTTTAACAAGTCAACATTTCTCCAGCATTTTCAACCAGGCTCGATATATTTAACCTCACATTTAAACATTTCCTAGTGTCAAATTTATTCACTTATCACCATGCTGCTCTGACTGCTGATAAACTAGGGTGACAGTAGTGCTGTACTGCCAGAGGTGCCATTTTTCCAAATAAGATGTGAAGCCATGGCCCCAAGTGCCATTACAGAAGGGCTCCCTACCTATAAAGCCAGGAGGCCGAGTACAAAGTTCCACCTGCTCCAGAGCTGTGTAATAACATCTCTGAACAGGTTGATTAGGAAATATCTAGAAAAGGTCACACAGCATTCTGCCCAGTCAGTCATGTCACAGCCAACATTTATTCATCAACATACATCACAACAGTATATGGTCACGAATTGCATTGCTACACATGGGATCTTGCTGTGTGGCAAATGGCTGTGATGTATTCTATGTTGGTGACACCACTTCAAAAGTACATAGTTAGATTAGACATCTGGCTCATCAAAAATGTTATGTAAATGCACGCTTTTCCTGGTCTTACTTTACACAACTCAACATTCTCCAAAGTCAGCCCAAGATTACGGGCAGTTGGCCATGTCAGCTAGCCTATTGTTTTTAAAACAACTTCAGTTTTAAAGAAATTACTCAAGCAACAGTGGATATTGTTACATACCAGGTATTACCATTTTGCCCAACGTTATTACAGTATACTCATTGCTGTCACTGTTTCAAATACTGTTACTGCATCCAATTCTATTGTTGCGCCCAAGCTCATACACTTGCCGAGGCAAAATCCAGGCTTGGGCTGATAGCAACATTCAAACTGCAGAAGTGCCAGTCAAAGACTGCCCCCAGCAAGAGAAAGCCCAGCTATCACCCTATGACATTTAAAAGAATGACCATTACGGCATGCCCACTAACAACATCCTGGGGGTTATGACGACCGGAAACTGAACTAGACCAGCCAGATAAACACTGTGATGACTTTGTGACAGAATTCCTTTGACCTCAATTACTGCATCTTCTGACACTCCAATCCCGCACCTGCAATGCACAGGCAAGAGAATGCGATGGAATACTCTCCACTTGTCTAGGTGCACGCAGCTCCAACATTCAAGACGCTCAATACCACCAAGAACAAAGCAGCCTGTTTGATTGTTAAAAGACATGTACTTCCTTCTCCACTTACATACAATGGTAGCATTGCAGCAATTTCAAAACTGCAAACTTGAGTTGCATGGCATGGAGGAGCAAGGGTAGGAGGTGCATGCCTCCAATAATTATTCCTCAACCAACCTCACTTAAACATAATCTGGTCCCTGGCAGGATCCCCCAAAACTTAAGTTTCTTATACAAGTATTGCATCTTGTAGCAACATTAACTCTTGTTGTATTCAAAGTATTTCATTAATGTTGATATGGCATCATGCACAATTAGTTCACTGCCTCTTATG